CGCATGTGATCCGCTCCGTGCTATCGTGTCTCTGGACCGGAGCAGAGTGTGTGTGCGGTGCGGTGGTTAGCGTGACGCAGCTTTTTTCCTCAATGGAAAGCATATTTACACTGTTTGAATCGTTCCCTGTCGCCTATATAGTGCACTACGTGCCATTCGCACTGTACAGAAAATACTAATTCTGTGGACAAGTGACTGATTTCAGCCGCGGCTTCAGCGTCTATTTTATAGTCACTGCCTTATAGATAACCTTAAGACTAACATATTGATACTAACACCCAAAAAACTTAAATTTTGATTTCATGAGGACTTTAAGGTCTGCGTCAGCCGTCAGGCAGCTTTATCAGTGGCGCACGAGATGCGATGACGATGTAAGTGTCATTGATTGCATTTAAATGCTTTTGTTAGCCTATCCAGTTGAAGCCACTGGATGCGGCGCTGCTACGTTGTTCATTCATATATTGCGGGAAACGAGAGCATCAGTGTGGAGAGGATGTTGTTTACGTCAAAACTGAAACCAAGCCGTTCACACAGAATGCATATTTATCACATTTTCTAGAGGGACATCTATCAGCGTTGCACTCGCGTCTCGCACAAGAGAGCCGCATGTTTAGAAAGCCATGAAAAATTAATGCAAGTTCAACTTTTAAAAAACATGTCTAAAGATGTTATGGCGGTTTTCCCCCATCCCACTGCATCTCGTGTTTTTAAATGAAGAAAGTAGCCTACTCTTTGTGATTGGTTTTCGGTCCTTTGTATTAAACTATACATACATGCACGGTGCTGTTTTTTTTTCTAATTGTTTAAGCAACTTTATTAATTATATAAGGTTTATAAACATTATTTTAAACATTATGCACTTTTTTTCAAAGATAGTCGTGTTATTTTATTACACTTTGAATAAACGTGCATTAGTAATATTTTGCTCGATGCGCCCTCTTGTGGCCTCAGGAGAGAAGCCAAAAGCTTTTAACTGAAATTATGCCTTTTAAATTCGAATATAATTCGAATTTTGATTATATTTAAGTAGAAAATTCGAATTTCAGTCATTTTGACAGCCCTATCACACAAACACACATCATGCTGTCACTCGTTGCCCTTAACAACTGAAGAACCGTCACACAGCAGCTCTGACTGCAACACGAGGCTCTGGGTTCAGCTCCGCCTCCGTCATCAGCATTCATGACAGTTACCATTTCTGGCATTTAACTTCAGATTTGATCACACTAGTATCATGTGAACGCATAATGTTTAAGTCAAGTGGTGGCACTTTCAAAACAGCATGAATTTTAATGTTTACTCAGCATATGGTGACTAGGGCTGGGCGATATGGGCAAAAAATTATCACCATAAATGTCAAATATTTATTTCAAGTTTAAAGTAAGATTTTTGCTCCAAAGTGAAAGTTGTTGAAACCAGACTGTTAACGTTCCAGTTTCTGCATGTTCTAATGAGCGATATTGTTTCAAATCAAGAAACAGGTTTGTGTTGCCTGATAGTATTAATAATAATATTACTTGTTTGTCTCTTAGAAATGCACATTTGATAGTAGTAGCAGTAGCTTGAGAGGATGCAGATGCTAATTTTTGTTCAGTATCAAAATCAGTAACATCTGTAAAAACTGTAGCAACCTCATTTTTATATGGTGAAATTTAATCATTCTAATTATATATTATTATTTTTATCAATCATTGGTCTTCCATAGTAGCATACATTTAAATCATGATAATCACAGTTAAAGCCACACATAGCACCTTTACCATAGTAAAAATATAACTGTTTTTTGGGTTTTTTATGAAAATGCATTTTAGTATGAATGCAAACATGCTATAGCTTAATCAGAATACTGTAATTATATTCCATTACTCCTTTAATACATTTAATTCATGTCTACATTAATAATATAGTAAAATTCGATACAAATACCCTCATTTCTGCCACAATACCATGATACAGTTAGTGTTACTACAGTAAATCTTACTGTACAGTAAACCTTCTGACTGTATCATTGCGCACTTTCATCTGGCTTAAACATTATCGAACCCTTCATATCGTTTTGAAATTATATCGCGATAATTATCATTATCGATTTATCGCCCAGCCCTACTGATGACCATACACTACAGTATCAAACTTCTTAACTAGCTTAACCAGAGTTAGTTATATCTAAATGCTGATGATGATGGAGCTGAACTCGACTGAACCCGGAACGTTCCTGTAACGTCTGATCTAAGATCAGTTCTAAGATGACGCTTGTACTTGAACTGAGAGAAGCATGAGAACAAACCAGGCCCTGGATCAGTTGATAAGGGCATGAAGATAAAGAGTAAGAAACACAGATGAAGAACAGAGAGAGGCAGACGCTGGACACACATCAGATGAGCACGTTTAACGTTCAACACGTGACATGACTCAATATGCACAGAGAAATTAATATTGTGTTTAAATGATGAGTATAAACTGTAATTCAACCCCCTTCACCTGATTACCAGCTGCTTTCTTCTTGTTCATCTGACTGCTTCTCTGCTGGGCACTAAACAGGACAGAATTGAACTTAAATCAGCTTAAAATCAGTTATATACATACTACACAATACATACGGTGGCCAAAAGATTTCTTAAAATGTCTGAATGTCATTGGGTATCCATTAATATGAATTATAAATAATAATAATAATAATATTTTATTCTTATATTATATTTATTATTATTTCTAATTACTATTAATATCATTTAATGTTAGTAATAATAGTAATAATAATATATACATAATCATTATTATTTTCTATTACATATTTATTATTTATGATTAATATTGTTTAATGTTAGTAATAATAGTTATAATAATAATGATTTTTAAATTATTTTATATCATTGATTTATAATTAATATGAACAGTTTAATGTTAGTGATAATGCTAATAATAATAATAATATAAAATCATTATTATTAATTGATATTATTATATATTTATTATTTATAATTAACATAATTTAATGTTAGCAATATTAATAATAATATTATTATTATTACAATTATTTATCATTTTATATTATTTATATTAGTAGTTATTTATTATTAATATTAACAGTTTAATTTTTAGCTATTATTATTATTGTTGTTGTTGTTGTTATAATATAATATGATTGTGGCACTATGTTGATGTCCAGTGAACCATGTTAGAGGTCCAGGAAACATGAATTGCTTGGAAAATAATAATAATAATAATTAAAATGACATTTTTTTTATTGCTTAAATATTATATTATCATTGTTATTATTACTATTTTAATTATTGTTTTTATATTATTATTCATTTTAATTAATTATCTAGTTTAAAATGTGATTATATGGTCGTTTTAATCCCTTTTTATGATTAGGGTTAAATAATTGTGGCACTATATTGAGTCATTTGGTGTTACAGTTTTTTTCGATTGCTAAATGACAGTGGGCACAACTGGAGCTACATGTGCAAAACTCTAACTACAGTCTGCACAGCGGCAGTTCATGTGGACCAAACTCTAGTTCGTTTTTCATTGCTTGAACACAGTTTTCAAAACTCTACACACTTATCCCATGACTTTACCCACAACCTGCACAACACTGTGGATTTACAGCACTTTGTTCAAATGCTAACACACTGCTGTCAAAACTGTGAACCACACATTCAAAACAGAATAGATTTCAGCCTTGTGCCTTTCAAACACTGCTGATTGCAATTTCAGCTGAAAGGCTAAGCAGGTGTCTTGTTTTAGACTTGTTAGTGAACACACACACATATATATATATATATATATATATATATATAGGTAGAGCTCAGAAAGACTAATTTTGGAAATGGAACAAGGAAGACGGGTTCGTGGAGGGAGAAGGGTGGCAGGGAGAGGGCGGATGCGTGGAGGAAGACAAAGAAGACAAAGAGCTGTTATTTCAGATGAAATAAGGGCTACACTTATAGACCATGTCGTGAACCATGGTCTCTCATTGAGAGAGGCAGGGTTGAGGGTGCAACCCAATCTGCAAAGATCCACAGTGGCATCTGTAATGCGAATTTTCCATCATACAAACAGGTGAGAGTTACATCCTTACAGTAAATGAAAACATTACAGGAATTTATTTTGTATTGCAATTATAGAATATTTACACAGATATATATTACAGTAAGTTTGACTGTAAAATATATTTTTACAACAGGACCCAAAGGCTGCCCCCAACAGGAGGAAGAGAAAAAATATTTTCAGATGCGCAGGAAAATGCTATTGTTGACATGGTTGTTGTCAACAATGCAATAAAACTGCGGGAGATTCAAGATAGAGTGCTGGCTGATAATGATATATTTGAAAATGTTAATTCTGTCAGCACAACAACTATTGCTCGAGTCCTACAGAAACACCAAGTTACAATGAAACAGTTATACACTGTACCGTTCGAGAGAAACAGTGAACGGGTAAAAGAGCAAAGATACCAATATGTCCAGGTAAGAGGTCTGAGGTTACATACACAGCTATAAAAAATATTTACAGTAAAAAAAACACTAGCATTACTACAGTAAAACTGTGCACTTACTGTTTTTCAGAGAGTAATGGAGGTGGAAGCACTGGAAACACCACATTCATTTGTATTTATCGATGAAGCTGGATTTAACCTTGCCAAAACACGGCGCAGAGGAAGGAATGTTATAGGTCAAAGGGCCACTGTGGAGGTTCCAGGCCAAAGGGGGGAAA